AGTGTGTGCATATATATATATATATATATATTCCATAATGAATATTTTTTTCATATTCTAATGAACGCTCAGCACATTGTCAACAGTTTTGCATTTAAACTCATAATGAAAAATACGATAATGAATAACAACGCACAACTTTGTATAAATACTTATACGAATGAAGAACATATAGTTTTGTACCACTTGCAGCCCTGAAGATGGTCTTAGAAGAAGATCGAAAATACTTGGTAAATGAGAATAAAAGAAATTTAAACAGCTATAGCACATTTCTCTCATCCTTTAACATCAATACACGGAAGCTTATTCATGAGTATGAACGGATTTTATTTTTAGCAGACATAATGTCTCTAATTTATTCAATCAGACATGTCTAAATGAGAATTTGCTGTCTAAATACACAAATGCATATATATATATATATATATATATATATATATATTAATGTATATATGGTCAGTGACACTCCTTTTATGCGTCTTTTATTGAAAGCGGTCGACAAGGAAGATTTAAATAATCTTTTATTAAGTTTTTTCAGCATTCTAACATTTTTCCGTTTTTCATGGGTTTCCGAGCGCTTTCGGCAGGGTTCTATAGCCATTATCAAGGATGTTATTTTGGTATGGTGAGTTTCATGTGCTGTCTTCTACATAGTAGTTTAGTTGTGTGTAGATCTGCGAATGAATTTATGCCTTTTTCGGCTGTCACGTGTTATGCGCGACTGGTTGACTTGGACATCATTTCTATTTTTAGAAAACCTTTAATACGCCGTCTCCACTGCTAAACTGTAAGATTAGTAGCAGGAGAAAAGTATTTAATCAATAATGCTTCCCTAATAATGACTTCCTAAGCTAGTCCGATCGCGAACTCATAGATGACCAAGCCGAAATCCTGAATATCAGCACGAATTGTTATCTTCAACCTAGATATGAACCTCTTCAAGAAAAAACCGAAATTGAAATTCTATAACAATCTATCCAACAAATCACAACAGAAAAATCAATTAACGTGCAACCAAATCTAAAAGCCCCCCTAAAAGAGAAGGCTTAAAAAACAGTTCACCACACAGCCAACACAACAATATCCTACAAACGCAAGTCGGCCGTGAGAGTGTTACGCGACAACGCCAATATCGTTATTAGACGCGCTGATAAAACCAATAATTATATGGTTCTCAAACGACAGTACTATAAACAGAAGTTACAATACATCCTAGATAACACAAGGGAATTCACCAGATTAAAGATAAAATCCACAGACACAAAAAAACCTGTAAATTAACTAATCATAACGAACAACGGTTATGTTGATAGCTTGAAACTCAAGAAAATAGTCGATTACCAACCGGTATATATATATATATATATATATATATATATATATATATATATATATATATATATATATATATATATATATATATATAGTGATGTAAAAACCCATAAACCAGGTTTTCCTCTCCAACATATCATATCCCAAATACCTACACCTGTATACCAACTATCAAAAACTCTCAATCACATAATTTCTTCATACCCACCCAACAATTACAGCATAGCAACAACTTCCTTCACATCTAGTAAGCAGAAAGTCCCATAGAAAATTTTATGTCCTCCCTGGACGTTGAAAGCCTCTTTACTAACGTCCCAGTTGAGGAGACAATCAACATAATCAGCGACTACAAACACCCAGAATACCCTCACCAAAAATCCGACTCGCTATCCTCCAGAAACTACACCTCGCGTGTACTACAAAAGCTCCATTCTACGACCATAATGGCAACACATATATATCCAAACTAACGGTGTTAACCTGGGAAACCCTTTAGGTCCTACTTTCGCTAACTTTTACATGTCCGACATTGAAGAGAAAGTATTCGAAACAATCGATAAACCTGAAATTTACACAAGGCACATTGATGGCATTTTCATTTTGATAAAAAATAAATGTGAAATCGTTCACCTAAAATCAACTTTTGAAAAAAAACTCAAAACTAAAATTCGCATATGAACCCATGGTACATAACAAGATCCCATTCCTCGCTGCTGAGATAGAGCTAAAATCCAACGAATTGGATTCGAATAACCGCCAGTACGAACGCTTGCCTTTATATGATTGCCTATGATAGCCAATGCCCGGAAAGATATAAAATAGCAGTGATAACAAACTTTTTAAATAGAGCATACCAAAATTCCGCTTCCCAAAAGATATTACTTCAGCGAACTGAAACACATAAAACAAACACTAGACAACAATAAATCGACTCTATTTTGGCGAAACACAACCTTTGATTTACACACACAAATATAGTAATTTTCCAAGCGTAGCTCAGATGTGGCACAAGGCTGAAAGTATGGGGCACCCAGTGAGGATCAAACTCACTATTCAGTCATAATTGTTCTACCAAGACAAGCTTGCTAACTATTACACCACACCGAGGTGCTTGCTTGTCCCTTCTTTCTCTCTCTCATACTCACACACACACACACACACACACATATATATAATATGATTTTTTGATATTATATATATATATATATATATATATATATATATATATATATATATATATATATATAAAACTTTATATATATTAAACTTTTCACATGAAGTTTTGCAACACACACACATAAATATATATATATATATATATATATATATATATATTGCAAAACGCCATGTTAAAAGTTTTGTTTAAAACGCACCAATCAGCGTTTCCTTCACATCCGCCCTATATTTTATCGATCATTATGCAGCCATCGTTTTCTTTTTTATCTGTTATTATACAGTCACCAGTTTCCATTTAATCATTCATTATACGCCCACCAATTTCCATTTGAAAAATAATTTTTTTTACTGAAATAAAATATACACATATATGAATGTTTGAAATTGAAGAGATGGTCGCAAAACCATCTGGGGTGATGAATAACACCAAATTACTTTAAATAAATAAAAGCACCTCATTTTAACGATTATCTTGTCACTCACCTGCCACAATAAAATTCTTGAAATAAAGAATGGACTTTTAACAATGGCAATGAAATTAGTTTACTCTCCAAACAGGTGCTTATACACATATAAGACCTCTTATTCAACCAATCGTTTTCTTCGATTTTTTTAAAACTTTAATTTAAGCTTCGTGTCATTCATATCCACTGTAAACTGAAGTTGGCAAAATCTCTTAAGAATTTCAACGATTCTGATTTTCGGAAGCTTTAGCGAAAGGAAAAAATCTTGTCATATGCTTTACTTTTAGTGTGACAATGATTTTTTCCTTTATAATTAACGTGTTATTCTAAGAAAGAGCTTATGATGGCCAGTGTAAAAGAACATTTTCCCGTGTTCTGATGTTTACTGAGGCGCATTTTCGTATTTTAGGAAGACTATCAAAATTGTCATTTTTTAAATGCTAATCATATATTCACATTGGTAATAAAGACGACCCCACACATATAGTCATGAGCTAAAGTTCGCCTGTACAATGAAATGCTTCCTTTCTCACCGACTGACACAAATACCAGCGTCAAACATTTTACAAAATAATACGGCAAATGCATTGGTTGCACACCGTAACGAGATCACAATTTTAGCATAAAAAATGCCACTCTGATCAAAGAAGGAAACAATTCACTACGACATAGATGTCTTGAGAGTGCCTTGATTGCAAGGTCATCTACAGTAAATTTGTGCCCTGGTTCTTACAGCATTTCACCATTCCTGGCAGATCTTCTGTTATCTCAGTGTGGAATACCTACGAACAAAAGTAATGGGAAGAAAAAGAAAAAAAATCTCTAAATGAATTCGGATAGATATATAAAAAAAATTCAAAAATCCCCCAGTACCACTCGTTCGTGCTCATGTCTATTCCTACCAGCATAACACATTTAGTCCGATGAAGTCCCGAAGTAAACTTTTTCCACTTAGCATACAATTTCAACAATATTGTTCCAGATATACATAAATATATATTGTTGTCTCTCCCCCTCTCTCTCTCTCTCTCACACACACACACACACACACACACACACACACACACACACACACACATATATATATATATATATATATATATATATATATATATATATATATAATATTTCTTGTTACTTTAAACGTTATATTTTAGTGGATATCCGTGTTTTGAGTAGACGCCTTGAAATACATCTAACGGCCTGTTTCAAGAATCTTAATAAAGGAAACCATCGCCCGGCATGGATCAAAGCTGATCTCGTATGATTTTGACTGTTCTGCCAAAGAGAAAGAACAGACTGTGATTTTCCCCTGCAATGGGAGACGCAGGTTCAAACCGTACCGAGGAGGCAGATATTCTTTGTTAAATTCTCGAAAGCACAGGCCGGCAGATATAATTATCACTGTTAAAAAAAAGTGTTCCTCTCTGTTTAGCATTTTTTTCATTCGATACGGGTTGATGTCCAACCTTTTCCTGTCATACGTGATCAGCCATGTTTGATTTCATTATATCACTCCTAATTACGCCTTTTCCATGTTCATTCAGCCTTACTTAAAATACTATAAAACTGGTTGTTATAGCTGTAGGAGCAAATTAGAAATCTTTCTAAACGGATTAGTGTTTATTTCTTTTTTGAAACCATTGCATCCGATGATAGCGTATCTTTTTATTTGAAACAAACGAATTTGTCCTGTCAATCATTTTGACAAAATGGTGAAAGCAATCCTTCGTCTAACTAGACTAATCCAGGAATCATAATATATTAAGGATTAACAGCTATTTACGTAATATATTAAGCAAACATATAATTATTGACTGTATTTTTCCATTAAAAAAAAAAGATAATATTTCAATACAATCCTCATATAAGAAAAAGACAATAAATAAGCAGAAACACGTTTTCATGTAGTGGTTCCCAAACCTTTTCGAGCTGGACCCCCCCCCCGCCACGCCACGCTGCTGTCTCTCAAGTCAAATTCTCCAGCGCATCCTCTCACGAAGACAGTATTTCCTTGAGATGATGGCTTATGGCCATATTCCGTTGAATGCACTGTTTCTCGTACGATCACCGAAGATAAGCAATGTTGAGTCTGGTCAGTACTTAGATGGGTGACCGCTTACGAATACTAGGTGCTTCCCTTCCTAGCTATGGGTTAATTAGTAAAATTTGTATCAGTACAAGTCATTATTCTCTCAAAAAAATCTTGCAATCTAAAATTAATTTTTCATTTGAAACATTCTGAAAAAGGTTGATAAGACGTTAACGCCACCAAGATGAAAGGGACTAGAGGGAGAGAAACAGAATGAAAAAGCTTTATAAGGAACCGGAAACCCAATCCTAAACGGGAAACAAGGGATAAACCTCTACTCCTGGTGTGCTTATATACATGTGCGTATATATATATTATTTTTTCCACCTATTCTTATTGTACATTTCTCTGTTTTAATTTTGAATCTCCCGTGGTAGCCTGATGAGCGGGAGCGAAACCGGTTGCTTCCCCGCCCCTTGTTGTTGAGTTTTTTTTTTTATTATTTAATATTGTTTTAATATGTCTTGTAATATTAAATTTTACACTTTTATTTCGATCATTAAATTTTGTACCTACAAAAATATCTTTATATATTGGCCTGGCGTTGCAAAATGAAAATCAAGGGGGAGTCTGTTCACGTCGATTGCAGGTATGTTTGTGACTGATAAGTTAAATGCGCGACAGGTATACACGGTCGGAGCAGTTGCAACTGAAAGTCCAGCCTACGCTCGATGGCATATCTTTGCAGTATTTCCTCCTCTGCCTCTTGTCTGTAGGTATTTTTAAAGAAGGAGACAACATGGTTGATGGTGAGACGCCAAGTGTCACGGTTCCCATCTAGGGCGGACCATTGCCAATAGTTGATGTGACAGGCACCAGCGGTTTTTTTTAGGCAATCTTTGGATCGCTTCTTCTGTCGCGATATTGAGCTACCCGTATAGCAGGTATATACAATGTCTGGATTGCTTACATATAAATGCTTGCCTTAGATACTTGATAATATGTCGGAGATCAAGAATATCTGACACAGTTGTGCTGCAATGAGTCAAAATCTCAAGGATCTAGTCCGTAGTTATGAAGCAGAGACTGAGATGGGCTGGTCACTTACTTTAGAGGACAGACGGCAGCTCCAAACAAGCCCTGAACGTTGAACTGGTGGAAGACAAACGTCCACAGGGCAAGCCGCGCTAACGGTACTAAAAAGAACACATTTAAAAAGGTGAACATAGGCATTAGCGTTTTGGGAGATCTTGCGTCTGACAAGTCAACTTGGAAGACACTGCTGACAACTGGTATGAATGACTTTTGAGAAAGGTAGAATTGAAAAAGCAGAGGTAAAACGAGTTGCTTATTACATGGAAAACAGAAGACCCCTTCTCAGGAAAACGACTTTCATCTATACATGATGTAGTAGAATATGACTGGCTTTGAGTCACGCACGCCACCAGAAGGACAGCACAATCTATCACTATGGTGTCCAGCCTGATTTCGTTTGCAATCTATGCAACAATGTGTAATGGTCAGCGAGTGGACTTACTCGGTATTAGAAATGACAGCACCATGGTACTAATGCAGCAAGTGCTAAGTTTGCTTGCAAAAACTCCGGTTTAAATCTTTGGTATAATGAATCAACAGAGACTTCATCAGTGACAAGTCAGCTGTAAAGTCATGGAAGTAATCGTAGTCGGACACGAATTTACTTTCCTCCATTTGCAATCTCTCCCTGTCTATCTTTCCCTATATATATATATATATATATATATATATATAATGCATGATCTATGCATTGAACTCATGCCTAATCTACTTACACAATGTCTGTACATTTTTATAGGCAGATTTTATGGGCTGAAAGCAGCTGTCCTTGTTTGATCACCGACGTTAAGCAGCGTCGAAACAGGCCAGATGGGGAACTCATTTGACACAGCACATGTTATGAGCATTTCTATACATTGCTGTTGTTCCAAAGTCTACCCTGACCCGGAGTATTAGCACCTGTTAGGTTCCCAGCTAAGGGAAAATAGTGAAAACCCCAAAAAATTTCAAAATACTATGAATGTATAAAAATACATTTTTATAGTAAAAATACCAGCAATACATTTTATAGTGAAATTACCAACAATACCTGTTTATAGTAAAATGGACAGCAATACATTTTTATAGCAAAATGATCAACAATAAATTTTATTTGCAGTTGAAAGCATGCAATTACGTTCAAAGTATATTTAGTTGAAGCCATAAAATTGTGTTCAAAATATTCGCCGTTAAATAAGTCATAGAGGTTTTGATATGTCCCTAAACAAAATCAATGAAATTAGAATAAACTCCGACAAAAATCTTAAGGAGGTATTAAAGAAAAATGGTACGTACAACGTCAGACTTGTTTTGGATCACACTTTACGAAGATTTTTTTAAATGTCTCTTTAGAATGTAGGCGATCCTGCCTCTCCATACATTGTTTTTTAATTATTTTCTGTTAATTGCCATGTTTTCTTGGAAATGGTAGTGGAGTGGTTTCACATTCTCACCCCCACAGTTTGAAATTCAAAGTTTTTCTTTTCTTCGACTGGTTGCCACTCAAGGCCAGATTTCCTGCTTTTTAGTCCATAGCTGGGATAATGGTGGAAAAAAGGATAGGTTCATGCCTTTTTCAAGCGCTTAGTGCGAAAGTAGACACAACAGAGACACGTGGAATTTAAACTTGCCACTACTTTTGGTAATTTACTCATTCCTACATTTTAAGGAATGCAATTGTTTTACAACTTGAGTTGAAGATTGAGCACGTTTCAAGTCCTTCCTTTTTTTCCGACAGCTTCGTCCACTCTATTGAATTTATTTTTTCCCTGTCTCATTTTTGTTCATTAGTTTAATTTCTGCATTTTCCAGTTTTAACTCTTTTCGTATTTAAGGTCATATTTTTTCTATTTTTTTTTTGTCAATCGATTCCTGTGCTGATATATAATTATCTCCCTTTGTTCTTACTGTTCCCATTTGTTTTTCCTGTTATCTCTGCCGATATTTTAATTACACATTCAAATTTACTATTGATATTTTTAATGTTATTTTCCTTATTCCATAAAGCCTGGAATCTATTTTTGATTTCTCCCTGAATTTAAACGGTATTCTCTTAGGATATACTATCTTTCTGAGAATAGTTTTTTTTTTTATCTTCACCACAATTACAAAGTCAAATTAAAATCTACAAGCTACCAGTCAATGATCGCTTCTCAGATACACTTTGTTTGTGACAATTACGTTCTTAACAGTACCGATTTATTAACAAGTCAATTTTTTGCTTCTCCATTTGGGCATTTCCAAGTCAAGTTGCGGACCCTTCCTTTCTCTCTCCCCCCTCTCTCTCTCTCTCTCTCTCTCTATATATATATATATATATATATATATATATATATATATATATATATATATATATATATATATATTGCCATTTTGAGTCTTTCAGAAGTTTATCAACATTTTTCTTTTCCCTATTCAGATTTTCCTACAATAGATGTTTCCCCTTCACTTTACTTTCAGCAAAATGGTGGAATTCATTTTCTAGCAGAATAACATTACTGGTAATCGAAAGCTACTGGGATTAGGATGTAGCAAAAAAATAAAATTTACTATGGGCTACAAAGGACAGGAAGTTGTGGAGAGCTATGATCACCAACGTCCGGAAGGATCACAGTACATAGAAGAAGTTATGTACTAACTTCGAAAAGTTCTTTGGGCAACTTTAAAAGACTTGGGACGATTATCAGTAATGTTATTCTGCTAGAAAATGAATTCCACCATTTTGATGAATGACTTTAATACAAAAGTAAAGTGAAGGGGAAAGATCTATTGTAGGAAAATCTGAATAGGGAAAAGAAAAATGTTGATAAACTTCTCTGAAAGACTCAAAATGGCAATATACATCCTAATCCCAGTAGCTTTCCTCTCTTTCTTTAGTATATCCTGTGAGTGTCAGATTTTCTAAACTCTCTTTCCTCATTACGTGCCCTAGAAATTTCAATTGTCTCATTTTGATGCTACGTATAAGTGTCCTTTTTTCCCCTTTTTCTTTCCAGTATTTTAAATGCCATAACATTTCTAAAACTATTTACTGCATTGTGTTTATTGCTATGTAGATTGTGGAAAAGTTTAGGAGAAAGGATAAAAAGAAACCAACATTTATTAAGAGCTACAAAGGTGAGGAAGTTGTGGAGAGCCACGACACATAGGAGAAGATTGCGGAAATGGGGAATGTGCTAATTCTTTTATGGAGATATTATTTCTTTTCGTTTACAGTTTATTACAATCATTTACCAAGTCCGAAACTTAAAATAAATGAACATTTTTCTTCGAAAGTTATGAAAAGAATGTTTTTTAAATTTCAGATAAAGATAGATTCTCTTAATATGTTTTTTCCGTATTATTCTCAATAATTTCTAACATTTCAGTAATGGTTTTATTTCTACAGAAGGATGCTGAGAATACCATGGACTGAACGAACGACGGAGATTTTCAGAAAATGGAAACAAAAAGAAAACATATACCTAACACCAGGAAGTAGAATTTTCTAGGGTATATAATGAGGAGAGCGGGCTTGGAAAATTTAATACTCATAGGAGCAGATTGAAGGCAAGAGGGACAGAGGAAAACGCATAATCGACTTAGCTAGCTAATGGCGAGGCAAGTTTTAGGAGAGATAACAAAAAGATAAAATTTATTAATAGACAGAAAGAATAGGAAATTGTGGAGAGCCATGGTCGCCAACGTCCTTAAGGAACACGGCACGTAGAAGATGATCATGTAAATATATTTTTATTATATTTACAATGTACTTTTTAGAGAATTCAATAAGAAAATGTGAAAATTTTGTTGTAATGCATTTCATCCTCTAGGACTTCATCGGACTAAAGTAATGTTTTTATTGATGGAGTTATATATATATATATATATATATATATATATATATATATGCATAAAAGGGAGCACGAAGTACAAATGCGTGACGACCCAAGCTACACTATCGCATATACGATTGCCTGCATTGTCTTATTGACTAAAGATCCTACACCGCTAAACTCCTTTCTTTTTCTATGTGCTGCGTCCATTCAGGACATACGCGATCATGGCTCTTCAAAGCTTTCTATCTCATTTTTTTCATATTTTCCTCCTTTTGCTAAGGCCTCCATCCCCAGTTCCGCCATCCACTCACCTAAGCTCACTGCCTTCCCTTATCTCTCAATATACCCCGTGGGGGTTAAGTTTTCCAAGACGTCCTTCTTCATTATATGTCCAAGGAATTCCAACTGATTTTCCTGATTCTGGGTATAAGTGTTCTTTCCGTTAGCATTTTCTTTAAGACTTTTTTGTTGCTTACTCGCTCCGTTCATGAATTCTCAATATAATTCTGTAGAATCACATTTCTACTACTTCTATTTTTTTCCTCATCCGTGGGGAAATCCATATAAGAGGATGGATATCACATAACAGTCCATCACCCTTTTTTTTTGTTTCTAATGATTTTTCTCATTTCTCCATACCTTGCTTAGCTTTTGGAGTGCCTCTCACGCTAGTCTAATGTGTGTTCAGATCTCAATGTTGCATTTTCCATCCTCTGTTAAAAGAGTTCCCAGGTGTTTGCACTGGTTTGATGTTTATATCTCCAATTCGTAACTCACATCTTGGGTTTATTCTTCTGCTGATGACCATACATTCTGTCTTCTTGCAGTTCATGGTTAGTTCGTTTTTTTTTACGCTTTCTTCAGTAGGCTGTTACTTAACTTCCGCTTCCCTTTCATGTGAGTCTTGCTATTATCTACCCCGTGCCAGGTGATGGTGATTCAGTTTCTTTTCTTCAGTTATATATTTTGAATGTTATATGTGTATATTTTAACATTTTTGATTTTGTTTAATATCTAACTCTTTGTCATGTTTAAACAGTGTTCGCTCTGCTACCGGTTTCAGACAGCCCACAGGCGCATGTGTCAATGCAGTTAGACGTTTGTTAGACGATGAACCAACAACAATTTCATGATATATGTTAGCGGTTTGACGTCATTTGGGGTTTTAGAGTATAGGTCCACTTGTCAGCACTAATTTCTCACGAGATTATTAAAGAAATCTACCCTTTACCTATGTTATCATATAATTTTGATGTATATGTTTTAAAAATCTTACTTGTTATATATGTAATCACTAGAGCGAATGAAAAGTTTTGACGTATTTGTTTAATAAACTCTATCCGTGATATATTTACAGTGAATGAAATTTCGAAGAGTTTGTTTAATAAATCCTGTGTGTTACATATGTAATCATTAGAGAGAATGAAAGATTTTGACATATTTGTTTAATAAATTTCTATCCGTTTTATATGTAATCATTCGAGTGAATGAATGTTTCTATGGATTTGTTTAATAAATCCTATCACATATAAATGTTATCATTAGAGTGAATGAAAGGTTTTGGGATATTTATTTAATAAAATTTATCCGTTATATACGTAATCATTAGAGCGAATGAAAGTTTAAATTCTACCCTGATACTACATTTGATTAAATAATTAATTTCTATATATTTTCCATTGTGAAGAATGGTTTATTTATCACTATTCTGATGAATTCAAAACAAAAATCTTTACAGAATTGTCGAGAGACAGTGATTACAACAGCTAAGAGTATTCCTTTCGCCACGAGGTCTGGTTTAATATAGCACCGGCTATAGTACATGCGGTTTGAGACAATATTTTTTCCAGTTTTCTAGGTCTTTGACGTGTCACATACATAAGGGAATAGGCCTGTCAATAGGCCCGGTCAATGCAGTGGGAGTTGCAGCCGGAGAACGAGACTCTAGGAACTAGACATTATATATTTTTGTCAGTAGGGAATGCATGACTAGGACTGTATTATTTTACATTAAGAATGTCTTTCTCCAGTCGCCATAAAAAATATTTCAAAAACAAGTTTAAAAAAGTGAATGTTAGATTCGTTTAAAACATTTGAAAACACTTCAGGATAGAAACACCGGATTAAACTAGTACAGGTTGAGAATCCTTTATTCAAAATTCATAGAACCGGAAGTGCTTCGGTTTTCAGATTTTATCGGATTTTGGAATACTTACAGACTGTTTAATTTGCGTACAGCATCTATAAAATGGGGCAGCTTGGGAATGGAACCCAAGCATAAATACGATATCACTTTACATTTCATAACACATCTTATAAATATACCCTGAAGGTAGTTTTATATAAATAACAGTAACACATATCCCGAAAGTAGTTTCATATATAATTTAATCAATTTTGTGTAAATACAGATACAGGTAATAACGTTAGTCATGTAATTCTCACACGGATTTTTAAATGGTGAAATTAAGATTTCATGTAAAAATAATGTTTTGTACTTTCAGCGCGTGTACAAAAAAAAAAACATGATCACTACTTACAAAAAATATATATAAATGCAACATCAAACACTTCTACGTCAGAGAGAGAGAGAGTGAGAGAGAGAGAGAGAGAGAGAGAGAGAGGGTACATCATCGATGACATCACTGTGAGTGTGAGAAGGAAAACTCGGTAAACTATCAATCTCTAACAACGAATGCGTGTTTTGATTAAAATGTTACATTAAATACAGGTACAGTATTTGTATAAAAACAAAACATGGATTCTGATTACAGTTAATGGTAATGAAAAATCAAAAAGTCAACATTTTTTTGTAACGCTGCAACGCAGTAATCATGCCATGGGTAGCCATGTTGCTTTCTGAAATTTTCCATTTGTGGCAAGACAGGTCAGCACCTGAAAAACTTTCGTATTTTGGAGGTTTTCGGATTTTTAAGGTTTTCGGATAAAGGATATTAATCTGAAGTAAAACTAGCAAATTCTTCTAGCATCGAATTGTCGATGGCCTTGCATTAAATACTTTCAAGCTATCTGGTGAAACCGGCATCTGACGATCTGGCAATGTTAATATTTACATGTGGTGAGGACTGCATCTTTAATTATACATCACTTCAGGTAATATTATATCGAGGCTGTTATACCGAGGCAAATATTTCATTGAAATCATTTGCCTCGTATTTTCTGGGTTGGTTTATTGATGAAACTTTAAATATTTGCCTAATTTATAAGGTCTACACCTTTGTTAGTAAAACATTTATTATTTAATATTTATGCGCATTTTTAACTCAGGGCCCCTTTATAACATAGGCTACAGTGTACTAACGTAATACATCTCTGTAGAATAAAATACCTGTGAGGAATGTTAATGTGGGTGATAAATATAGAAATTTAAGTGCACTATAAAGAGGTTCGCCTTTTCTTGTGCCATTAGTATTTAACATGTAAAAATGTTGTATACGCATGTAAAGGTGCAGAAATGAAATCTTATGCATGTTGGCGATTATGAGCGTTGTGTACTTTGCAATTAGAACGCTGAAATTAATGTAGCGTTAAGGTTTCAGCACTAAAAGTTTATGGAACTGGGAATAGATTAGAAATATGGTGACGGTGTTAAAAACAATCAAGTAGAATAAAATGGTGCTGTCAAAATGAAAGGACACTTGCTGCGTCCGGCAATGACATCTGTTAAAGATGTGCATGCGTCAAATGACGTCACTGCACAACAGGAAGTCGGTTCAGACATTAGGGCTGACTTTAGTTTATTAGTTGTTTTTTTCTTTATATCATTTATTCGTTTTCGATTCTTTGCCGAGCGGAAATTCTTGTAATTTGATAATCATGTCCAGTCGTAAATCTCTCCTCACTTTCAACTTTTAACGCGTTTGTTTTAGTTTTGTCTTCTCTCAAATTGAGACTGAGATAAAGAAAGAAAGAAAGAGAGAGAGAGAGAGAGAGAGAATGAGAAAGAGAGAGAGAGAATGAGAAGTGAGACAAAACGAGAAAGAGAGAAAACTATAAAAAGAGAGAAAACTATAAAAAGAGAGAAAAATGAGAGAGACTAATAGGAAATGAGAGCTGGGAATATAGAAAGAAGGATAACAAGAGAGAAAGATAATGAGAGAGAAAATAAAAGAGAAATAGAGAACTAAAAAATAGCAGCGTTAAAATGAAAGAAAAATGGTAGGAAGGAGAGAGAGACAAAGTAAGGGAGTGAGAGAGAAAATGGGAAAGAGAGAAAATGAGAAGAGAGGCAAAACGAGAAAGGGAGAAAATGAGAAAAATATAGAAAGAGAGAAAAGTTAAAGAGAGAGATAGGAAATGAGAGTAAGGGAATATAGAAAGAAAGATAACGGGAGAGAGAAATAATGAGAGAGAGAGAGATAAAATAAGACAGAAATAAGAAAATAAGAGAGAGGAAACGAAATAAAAATGGTAGAAAGAGAGAGAAAGACGAAGTGCGCGAGAGCCCGTGGATATACATTGAAGAACTAGATCCTTAATGGAAATATCGGTAATGAGTTCATTTTCTCCGCCAACAATTGAGTGCATGCATATATATATATATATATATATATATATATATATATATATATATATATATATATATGTGTGTGTGTGTATATATTTATATGTGTATATATATATATATATATATATATATATATATATATATATATATATATATATATATAAGACCGCCATGAAAAGACAAAATTTATACTTATGACTCATGATGATAAGTAAAACTGAAAAACGAGCTAGCTAACTAGTTTCGAATCTCGCTCAACACACCTAATTCGAAGTTAATAAATATGTAATTAAAATAAAGTTAAACCGGCTACAGTACAGTATGTCCTGAGTACCTGCACCTTCCTTGACTGGGTCATATCAATGAAGGATATACTAAGTGGGTTTCCTTGTAGGTTCGATATTGTTAATTTGCTGCTAACACTCATGTAGTCTTTTCTGCCATGCCTTTTCTTCCATCCATGCGGAAAGATGTTCTCCTTCCACATCATAATAGTTCTTTAATTTATTCCTTTAAATGTAGTTGTGGTTCACACTACATAGGGAGAACGACTCAAAGGCTGGATGTCAAAATAAAGCAACACGTCCCAACAAAAATCCGCAATCTTAAGTAGACTCCTTCAGACATTCTGAATGCAATCGGATATGTCTGTCCAGAGCGGGTCTGCTCAGTCACCATCGGTCACACCAACATCAACATTCTATTGTATATGACGATTTCTTAAAGGCATAGTCTGAATGCCCGACCTGTACTAGGGTGTGCAAGTCTAGGTCGTGACTGAAAAGGCATATGAAAGGGCACATTGGAAGTGATGATGATCAAAGTCAACTTCCACCACCCGGAGACGATTTGATATCCCACATATGTGACAGTAAATGCAGATCGATGGCTGCCTTATGGGCCACTGTCGTTCGTTTACAATCGATGACTGCAGTGTTGTGGAGGACTTTAATTGAAGGGTTGGATGTGTCAGCGATGGTCATACTAACTTTCCGAGTCGACAGCCACTATATATATATATATATATATATATATATATATATATATATATATATATATGAATGTAATTCCAGACAATACCATACTGATCTAAACTTCGGTCCAAAACGAGTCGAACTGAGTAGAGGTAGTTTGAACCATGCGGGCGTCGTATCGTGACAGTGATGAATTCTTATTGCCTAAATTTTGATATAAGAACGAAGAACACGCGAAAACCTTCCATAATGATGTCGAGCACTCTGATGTTCGTCTGGGCCTTCTTCTCTAAAACTATTTTGTTTACCTGTAGTTTCAGCAAGGAGACATTTTGCACACGTAGAAATGATAGTAGCTGGCTAACACAGACATTTGCTTTTCCTTCCCCCTCTCTCTCTCTTTCGTCTTTCCCTAGAAATGATACCGACTACGTTCTTTCTCAAATAAACTGTGAGAAAAATGAGGAAAATTGTGTCGTTAATTCTGTCTGTTGATGCAGCGTTGAGATCCCTGCTGAGGATTTGCTCATAGACCACTACAATCCAGAGACGACACGAAATGCAACACTACAGGTTCCCTCTCCCGCTTTTGGTGGTTGTTTAAACTGGAGACCTGTGCAACAAATCTAGTATTAAATTCAATGACAAGGCTATTGTTAGAATCATAATAATCTTATTAATTTTAATTAACAGGTTATCAATACCATATATTTCTTATGAAAAACTAAACATTTTATAAAATCTTTTGAGTAATGGTTACCATAGGAATTAGTTTGTAAGTGAATTCTGTATAGTAAAAGACATTTCCTATAAATCGTAAGATTGAAACTTAAATGTTCACCTGATATAATAGTATAACGGAATTAACCAGTTCTTTTTTAAAATTTAGGAGCTCAGTTTTATCTGATCCCATTTCAAATTTTATCTTTACTAAACCAGTATATAAAAAATCAATGCAAAAAAGCACCCCGAAAAATTTCCGCCCGTGATTCTATACAAGTCGTTCATAATAACGATTTAAATGGAATTGCACTTGTTGTAAAGGATCTAAGATCTCAATATATGCATTTGACGTCAAATAAAAAAAATAATGTTTTTCTCTTTATTTTATCCGCTGAAGAGAGTTTAAAAGGGGAGATAACTTTGCGTGACAAATAAAGTATGGAATATGCGGCTTTAAAGTAATTTCTAAAATGGCTGGAAGTCAAGAGCAACAATCTGGAAATGAACGAGAAAAGACAGGAAAATGAAGCGGCATATTTTACCGACGAAATCTTTTCTCAGAGTTCGGCACTATCATGTTGAAACGAGTCGCTATGATTAAAAATACCCAAGGCAGAAAGAAAGAAAGAAAGAAAGAAAGAAAGAAAGAAAGAAAGAAAGAAAGAAAGAAATTACATTAAAAGGAAAAGAGAAAAATCGTGAAGAAATTGACAAAAGGAAAGGGACATATGAAAAGAGAAAGAAAGAAAGAAAGAAAGAAAAGGAGAGGAGAAGGGGATACGAAAAAGAAGAAAGAAAAACAGCAAGGCCAGAGATAGTAACAAAGGGGAATGCTTTCAGAAGAGAAGAATTGAAAAGAAATTAAGAAAAGATGGACAAAAAAAGGAAAAAACACGACAATAGAAGAGTCAAAATGAATTGAAATAAGAAAAAGAACGAAAAAGTCATGAGAAAGTTGAAAGCTGAAAGAAAACGGAAAGAAAGTACGATAATATAAGATGAAGAAAGAAGGAATTGGGTAAAAAGATATTCCAAGCAAAAATAGTATGATATTTCGAACTGTTAGACTTTAAACTTTTTCTTTTGGCATCCATTTTTACCCAAATAAACTGTTTTTTTTTTTCTTACTACTTATCATTGTCCTGAGGGTTTATTAAGTGCACTGTCTTTTATAGTCTCGCGTACAAAATCTCGAGGAGCTGTGGGTAGAGGACGGGGGTTGTAATGGTAAGTACATTCTGTGTGATAGTTTGCTGTTCAGCTTGAAACGGTAAAAATAACGCGTAATGATATTGGTGAGTAGAATTTTCCGGCAGACTGAGAGAGGTTGGGAGGAAGAACGAAAGAAAATTGGAGGAGGAGAGATAGAGAGGAGAAAGGGAAACTTAGAGGAAAGATAAAGAAATAAAGAATGACAAAGAGCTTAAGAAAGAGAGTGCTAATGGAGAAATGGCGAGAAAGAGAAACATTGAATTAAAGGGAAATAGAATAAAGAAAAACAATGCATAACGAAACTGTCTTTTGAAAACACTTGTCTTTCAGCGGAAATCATCATTATCATCCTTGTTCACTTTTATTCTTGCCATCCTTACAAACAATGCTATGATTGTTATCTCAATTAGAATTACATTGTCGTGAAATGCGCATTTGTTAGTTGTTTAGGTTAGTTCGACATAAGGCCAAATGGAAATGAGGAATGTTGTGTTACACCAATCTTCCTAGGTGGAATCTTGCCCTGCTTGAAAATCAATATTCGGAATACTAGCTTAGACTAAGGATCGAACGTCGGCACCAATGGAAAAATTCCGCAACTATTTCATCCACTATACAAGTCAGAAAATTCGGCATTAATATCTTGAAACGAATCGCCGTGGTTGAAAATACCCAAGGCAGCTGATGGGAAAGAAAGAAAGAAAGAAAGAAAGAAAGAAAGAAAGAAAGAAAAGGACTAATACCTTCGAGAAAGGCATGGAGTTATATATTCTCTCAACAGCTATGAGTAAAAAAGCATATTAAACTATATTCTTTTGACTTGAGTAGCAGTCAGGTTAGAAGGGCTACTCTGAATTCAAAATCAGGGAGAAACCAACGGGAAACCACAAAAAGTCATGGTAATTCACGCATATTAAAGAAAAGGAAGCTGTGGAGATACATGAACATTTACGTCCTGAAGGAACATAGCATTTAAAAATCTGTTTCGTCAGTCATCTCTTATTTACAAAGGAAAGGAGAGAGAGAGAGAGAGGCAAAAAGATAGACTGTAGATTAGAATAAATATATCAATGAGCAAACAACAATAGCAATACAGATGGAAGCTGTAACTATAATGTTTTGGGGCATATCTCTGGTAACAAGGAAATGCCGCTTAACATTAAGCCTACAAGAAGAAGAGAATATTTGCCATCTGTGAAAGAGCTCATTTGTGATTATTTGCAGCAGAACTGTTTCCTTTAGATAGAGATAATAATTAGAAAACCTCTTAAACAAGGAAAGCAGAAAATTTAGATGTTCGTTGTGACGTAATGGATAATGGCTCGCATTTAGGAATCAGAGAGTTGAGTTCGAATTCAAGCCGGCTTTGTTACATTCACTTACGCGTAAATAGCCTTGGGAAAGGTATGGATCTATCTCGTCTTCTTCTTAGCTATGAGTTGTATAATAAAACAGACTAAGTCCTATATTCTTGATTGGCAACCAGTCTCCCGCAGAAAGAAACGGTAAACCTATTGCGGGAAAATCTTCTGCCTATTTAGTTATGAATCGAAAAATCGTCCAAGCGTGTATCACGTGGACACTTAACTGAATGGAACAGACATCAGTTGTAGCAAATATCCTTCTTTGGCCTGTGAGTTTGTCTGTAAAACATGTTATGTCACGATTTTGAGTCCTTGCTCGTTTGCATTCACTTGATATCCGCTATTTTATGCTCGGATCAAAATCTAAATGATTTCTTTTGATGATAGAGATTACATTTTCCGAAGTGACGAAATTGTAGCAGGAAAAAGTCAATTTTCATATGTGATTAAAGCAAGAGAAATGAAGGAACTTTTGTTTGAAAAATATATGGAACTTGATAAAGGACAGTGTTTTACTAACGTTCTGTCATTCAGAATGTTCACCTATTCGCAAAAAAGTTTATTTTTGTTTTAATTTCGTTATTTTCCTAGGCATTTATTTGATTTGAGGTGAATTACTTATCGATACGATGCTCTGTATCTTAATTACATATGTAACTATTCCCTGAGTAGCTTAGAAGGTCTGATGAAAAAAGTAAGAATTTTTTCTGGAGATAATGTTTTAGTGATAAAAGTCTTACTAATTAGGCCATAGCGGGGGGGGAGAACAGGTGGATTCATACTTTTCCCAATTTCCACATTATACACACTTTCCTTCTGCTATAAATAACGGAAGTGAGCGAGAACGTTTTAACTTAGTGTACAGACGCACCAGCGTTCAAGGTCAATCTGTACCAAACGACGTCACTCGTTTAGCTCTGTTACCATAGCAACAGCCCTGATACGTTTTGAACAAATCTCGTAAACTGGTGAGTCTTAATTCCTTCTAAAATAATTTTAAATTTTAAATTAGTAAATCTTCTTGAAAACTGTGCAAAACTATTCAACTCTTTTTTTTTTATATAAGAATCTTTATTATTTAACAATAAGAATTTTTATAGATGTTTATTTTTTTTTTATATTTTTATCGATATTTTCATATAAGAATCTTATATTTTTTTAGATCAGAATATTTTTATATAAGAAACTTATAATTGATCAAGAATTATTATAACTTATCATTTATATTTTGTAACTAGACAAGGATCTTAGAATTTTAGGTAAAGAAAATTTATCAGGAATTAATGAACTTTAAATCACACATTATTTCCTATTACTATAAATGTTATATTTAGTGGTTACCTATGTTTGAGTAAAGATACATATTTATTATTATTATTAAACAAAATGATTGACATAACTTCCAATAATTTTCAGTACTTAAGAAAAGAGCGCGTTTAAGGAAACTAAGAGAAAAGAAACATTGTTTGACAATGTTAAAACAATATTTAGACAGTATGTCTGTCTTCTTTAAGTTATATTTATAACTTGAAAAAGACAGAAATACTGTCGGAATATTAAAAGTTCTGTATAGTTTTCAACTGTTCCTACTTCCCAATCAGTTAAACCCTTAAGCCCAGAAGAGACCAAATATGTCTTCAATTTTTGACACGCTTACGGTACGGGTGAACTGTAATTGATTAGCACTGTATTTCAATACCTGGCATGAACACTCATCACGTGATCAACTTAGAGGTGCCAGAAATATATAAAGTTTTGGAAATCTACAATTTTTATAGGGTTGCAGATTTTCAAAACGATATCTCATAAAAAAATAGGGCAGGTTGATTTTTAACTGTTCTTAGGAAATCAACATTGCACTCAGTGTAAGAACTTGGGTTTGGTGTGATAATTATTGACACCAAAAATTAGATCCATAGCTTTTATTAAATATCGTCTGAAAAAATGTACAGAAATACCTAATTTCTGTAGGTTTTTGCTTATAAAATCTTTTAATATTTCAAAAATAAATTCAAATAGAGTTAATTTGCATGTGATACATGTAATGGAAGATATATTCAAACCAGAATTCTGATTATGAATCACCACAAGCAAAATATGCTATTTTAACTGTATTCGATAAGTAAAACCTGTGTACAAATTGTAAAAGATTACAAAAAAAGAAAGAAAAAGAAATGAATAAGATTAATTAAATCATTTATTAGATCATAATTAATAAAAACAAAAAATGAATAAAAGCGTATATAACACCAAAATACTACTGGGCACAAATTATGAGAGAAAATGTTTCAAATTTGCATTGTTTATTGAAAATCGCACTAAAACCAGCATACTGTATAAGATATTATATCATAATAGCTGCTAAATTGTTCAATATAATTTCCCTTTGAATTAAATCAAGATCTTATTTGATGGCACAATGATTTAGTAATAATGTTCTTGTATTATGCATATTGTCCATATACAATTTGTAAAGTTTAAGTAAATTATATATTTTAAAAGGTTGTGCTATAAGGCTTTCACTGATCCCCGGAATGAAATTCCAACGCTACGATTTTGAACATAAACTTAATTTTAAACTCATTTCCTCAAAAAAAAACAAAAAAAAAAAAAACGGTAGAGATTTAAAAAATGTATTTTGTGTCGTTAACCCCAACGACCAGGCACATTTATGTTTGTTCAACACCCACAGAGCTAACCTGTGGTTTTTTTTTTACATCTATTCTAAGCAGAGCTATCACTAAGTCACAAGTAATCGTGACCGAGTGCTTGAGTGTACTGGTCTTGATCAGACTGTTGCCCTCTCTCACAGAAACTGCAAATAAGGTCCGCTTAGCATAGTTGCACTATAAACCATAGGTGTGCTCTGTAGGTGTTGAATAAACACAAATGTGTCTGAACAGGTGTCTGCAACAGGGATTAGCTAGCTGCCCTAGTAGACAGGTATACTCAGATACGCGAGGCCAGCTATTATACTACACTAAGCAGACCTTAGTTTCTGGGAGAGAGAGAGAGAGAGAGAGAGAGAGAGAGAGAGCAGAATCTAAGGGAATCACCAGTTTGGACATGGTCAGTATGCTGAAACCCTCAGCCACGATGACTTTGAGCTAGCACAACAATCGATGGTTTCTGAAAAGTTTCGTCTCCCCAACATGACTTGGGTTAATCCATGGCATGGTTTCCAATCTCTTCTCAACAAATCTGTGCAATAGAACCGACTTCTCCATGACTCGAACCCCGGTGCTTATGGTCAGAATACTAACGTTCTAACCACTCAGCCACTTCATATAATCAATTAGAAAATGCAATGAGCTGAGAGGATTTCTTTTTTCCTCAATTGAAGCTTATCAAATTCTTTATTCGCAAAGATTCTACGTGCTGATGCGTGTGTTTCAAACAAATCCCAATGTTAATCAATAAAGTTTCTTAGAAACAATTTTTGTCCATAACGATCTATGTCTATTTTTAAATCAATGAAAGCCTTGCAAATCGGCCTAAATTTTGATATCAAAGGATTACTGGCTAAGGATTTATCTCTGATCTCGTAGCATCGTAAGTTTGGAGGATTTAGGTTAAATAAATCTTCACGTGAGAAAACTAGGTAGTGATTGTCCAAGCAAAATTGAAACCATCGGCTTCAAATGATTGTGAAGTTTTCGATCGGATTACTTTAATCTTCAATATTATTGAAATCTTTTTACATGACAACATCCCACAGGAAAAGAAAGATGTTTTTTCTTAAACCTTATCTGAATTACCTCGTCCAATAAAATTGTAGAGAGTCATTAAACGAAAATCTTTCACGAAGAGACTATACAACTCGTCGTCATTAGCTTTATCTTGTATACAAGAATTTAATTTCTTTGCTGATCGCTTTCTTTATGATGATAGTGTTGACGACGAAATACGTCGCCAAAGTGAAGGTTCAGAACTAAAAGCTTCCAATTTCACCAAAACCTGCTCCCGCCATCCATTACTGTGACTTTGCAAGATTCGGTTGGAGATGAAACAAAATCAGAGTAGAAGAAAGTGCCGATTGCTTTAACACGTTTATGGTGAACCTCAACTTGCCACACTAGATTTCATGACTTTCCTTTGCAGCACATATGGAATGAGACATACAGAATCCAGTTATGAAACTGCAACACACTGCCGCTGAATGCCCTCTTCAACCGCTGGTTCAACCGTTGTTGTAATCTGCTTGTTCCACCGTTCGAATCGTTGGATTGGTCGTGCTTAGTCTGAGTCCTCGGCTTCGACCTTGTCGCAAAGTCTGGCCCTACCAGAGGGTCCAACAATTCATCTTCAGAAACTGAGCAGTCAGGCGACCTACACATGTGATTTGATTAGAGTGGTGAAGGATTACGCAGAATCATTGACACTTTTCGGAAGAGCTGATGTACATAGTGTGCAAGGTGGTCAACAAACAGCCCCGCTCAGGTTCTGAATTTAGAGTGGCCACTCTCCTATATTGGTTTCCAACCAAGCCTAAAGTGCCCAGTTTGTCATAATATTTAACTCATAGCTGAGAGCTCTCTCTCTCTCTTTCTTTCTCTCTCTCTCTCTCTCTCTATATATATATATATATATATATATATATATATATATATATACAAATGAAAAGAAAAGAACAGATGGAGGAAAAATCAATGTTCGTAGCATTTACTTTTTAAAAAGTGCTCATTTTAATTATGACCTGATGCTCCCCTTTAACTTTCGGAAAAGTGGTAACATTTAATCACCAATTACTTACCATAACCTTTTCTCTCACTCTCATCTTGTATGGAATTAAATGATTATATATATATATATATATATATATATATATATATATATATATATATATATATATATATATATATATATACTTTCGGCCTTGTGCCACAACTAAATTTCACTTAGTAAATCAACATATATATATATATATATATATATATATATATATATAAGCTAAAGAGTTACCCCTCAGCTGTCAATTTACCTTATATTAACTTCGAGGTAATCGCCCTGGGTAGAGATAACGGGAGGGAGATATTTGTATGTCAGAGTGGTATCAGAAAGTTTTATATCAGTCGTATTCACTAGCTAAGAGACGAAAGAAAACGGAGAAAAGTATCAGCAAATATTCTTGTTGCTATGTTCCGAGATCCTCGCCGTTGCACAATATGTGGACTTGTATGCAGGTCACTAGAGGAGCTGAAGTGTCACTTACGACACACACAAGCTGAACGATGTTGTCGGATACATACATCAATTTCGTGGGGGAGTCTATGATATATATATATATATATATATATATATATATATATATATATATATATATATATATACATACTTGTTTCGTTAAAGACGACAGACAAGGTGCTGTGATTAAGCTTTTATTTAATTTTTCTTGTGTTCGTACAAGTTTCGGACATTTTTTTTTTTAGATTTTACACATTTCTAGAAAAGAAAACACTTGCACTAACACAAGAAAAATTAAAAAGCTTAATGGCATTACCTTATCAGTAGTCTTTAACAAAACATCTATAAAAGAGGAATTGCTGCCTAAATATATATATATATATATATATATATATATATAGAGAGAGAGAGAGAGAGATAGATAGATAGATAGATAGATAGCACATAATAATTAATTGATTGATTGATTCGAAAACATAAAACTTCAACAGAAGACACTGAACGGCACATCCACTGTCGAGAAACGAACCCGGACCGTTACAATACAAAGAAAGTGTCATACCACTGGGCCAGCAAGCCTCGATAACAAAGGCGAAACTAACTAGACTCAATAAAGTGTAGCTTCTCTTAATTCCGGTGGTTGTATCCAGTCCGTGGAAATATCCAACAATTTCCTAGCAACTCCATTGTATCTGCATTTGCCTTCCATTAGACCATAACAGCGACGTAGAGAGGAAGTATTTATGGAGATATCCAACATCATGCAAAAAGCAACAACTTATCTGTAGATAATTTAGCGCAATGGAAAGGAAGACTTTGAAGAAATGTTTAGTATGAAAAACTAAAGAGGGATGTTCGTAAGGGGCTTGTTGTTAATTTACCTGAAATTTGCCTGAGAACTGTTGTTAATTTACCTGAGATTTGTTGTTAATTTACCTGAGAATGTTGGCGCAAAACTTGACATGACGTGTAGTGAATGCGGTAATGTCTAAGTAGGACAGGCCTTAAAATCATCAAAGACGCCACACATTGAAATTCGACCAAAATATTAATATAACAACTACTGAAAGAGGCTCCTAATGTTGCCACATCTGCGTAAAAGAATGTAAGGTTACTAGCAGCATTAGTAGCATTCGTGCTGTCCATATATGACAATAAAACATCTCGAGTAATAAAGCATTACTCGAGATCATGTCTTGGCCGTTTGTGTGCACATCTGTACTTTCGCAAGATGTATGCCTCTACTTTTCACGGATCAGTCTTAACGTATAAAGATTGTACACCTATCTTTTGGATATAAAGCGATGCAATTTAAAACTATATATATATATATATATATATATATATATATATATATATGTGTGTGTGTGTGTGTGTGTATGTTGGAAATTAAAATAAAATACAGCGTATATACAAAATAAATTCATATACGTAAATATGACAAAAATATTATTTTATTATTTTAATTTTAATTTCAATATATATATATATATATATATATATATATATATATATATATATATATATATATACGGCATTTAAGCTAGCTCCTCCCGAGGGCTCCTTCAGTCGGCCTGATTCCAAAATGGTATGACATATTGGGCTACGACCTCTAGGAGTAAAGTGTGACACACTGATACATTGACAATCGCATTTATATATATATATATATTTAAATTTTACATTTTAATTTCCAACACACACACACAGACACACACACAGAAACACACGCACAAAAACACACGCATATATATATATATATATATATATATATATATATATATATATATATATATATATATATATATACGAATAAAAAGACTGGAGGAAAACCTATTCTATGCCGACGTGTTTCGTCCTCTGAGGGACATTATCAAGGCACACAAGCCTTGATAAAATCCCAAAACGCGGTGGCTAAGAATAATTTTTCCTCGTGTGATTAAAATCTATGAGATTTTAAAAAAATTATTTCCCATTTCTTAGCCGATATATACGAGTCTATGAGCAGTAAAAGCATGTTCAGCAACCTGTAAATAAACGTGTATTATGTGTTTATGTCGGTTTTATGAAGGAAAATTACTTTTATCGGAATGAATCAGAGTAAAACGTTTTAGAAACGTCAGCGATTTTTAAGAATTTTTTTTCTATAAATGCATCCTGACATTTAATGTTTCATAGAATTGCGAAATCCTGAAAGAAAAGATTTCGTTGTAATCAAATAAGAGCTCAGGAACTACATACAACAGTTTCGTATTTAGTATTCGATCGTGGAAACATGGTAGCTGGGCACCTTTTTTTTTCTCTCTTTTATAACAGAGAGAAAATCTTAAATCTTGCCGGGCGGTAGGTTTTCTTTAATAGGTCTTAATTTGAGGATCTCCTCAAAGATGAAGAGGAGACTTGAAGCAATAGAAATGTGGTTCTACAGAAGGATGCTGCGGGTGCTATGGACTGTACATGCGAGTAAGTTTGGAAGAAAATGTCAACAAAACGGAAACTAATATTTAACATCAGGAAGAGATAGTTGAGTTTTCTGGGGCACATAATGAGGAAGAAGGGCCTGAAAAATCTGATACTCACAGGATAGATGGGGGCAAGAAGGACAGAGGAAGAAAAAACATAACATTTTTAATGAGCTTGAGTTAATGGATAGCGGAACAAAGTTTAAGAGAAATAACAGAAAGACAAAGTTTACTAAGAGCTACAAGAGACAGGAAGTTGTGAAGAGCTATGAAGGTCTATGTCTCGAGGGGAAACGGCACATAAATAAAAAATACGTGTAGATTTTCATTTTACTATTTGTATATAAACAGGGTCTTGGCCTCACATTTTCCATTGGTATGCTGTGGATCGACTATATGGAATCAATAGCTTCATCAGAAGCCATCTTACAGATTTACCATTCTAACTGATATATCTACCATTCGTCCATGCATTGAATACTGTTGCCATATTTGCTCTGGTTCTGCTGTTTTACATCTCGTGATTCTTGAGTAAATTCATAGAATGATATGTAAAGTAATCGATCCTGATCAGACATTTCGACTTCAGTCACTTTCTCACCGATATGATGTGGCTTCCCTCTGTCTTTTCTATAAATATTTTCATGGCAATAGCTCTGACGAGCATTTTTCCCTGGTGCTTTGAATTTAATTGTGTTACTAGATTTGCAAGTAGGTTCCACCGTTTTACTGTTGAAATAACTAATGCAACCACCACTTCTACTCTAACAGTTCTTTTCTCGCACTTTCCACATGTGAAACACCTTTTTGTTTCCTTGCTTCCATGATAACTAAAATCTACAAAAAATTAAACGCAACGTCAATCGCTAGCTTCTGTTTTCTTGAACCCTATTCAATTTTGTCATTTCCTCAAGCCGCTCTTCTTTTAGTCCTCTCTTTCATTTCCTGTAATTCCCTGCGTGCTAGTGGCATTGCCGCCATGCTTGGGGTGAAATGATTAAAAAGCAAAAGAAGAAAAAAGTCACCTCAAGCGCGTATACACATTAAAATAAAGGTAGAGACAATTGGCGAATTTCGGAGAAATAGCGAGTTTGTTTTCGTAGGCAAAGAGCCAGGCGGAACGTGCGTTTTTTATATACATTTACGTTGTTTTTTTTATACATAAATATGTTATTTTTTTTATATATAGATTTAATTGTCTATACTCTGATGATGACTTAAGAAAGTCTCAGAAGGATTATTTCTAATTTGGAAAAATCAATCATTAAAATTAATCGACACAAAATGTTAAATGTTTTTAATTGTATTTACCTTAAAGAAAAATTGCAGTCTAAATATTAGAATATATATATATATATATATATATATATATATATATATATATATATATATAGTATCCCAAATTGAAATGGCTTGAAATGTTTTCTCTTTTTCATATGTATGCATTTAATTTAATTCACTATTTAATTTAAACTATTAATCTTCTTTGTAAGTCAATAAACATTAATATTTATTAATTTTAACATGAATCTTGTTTGCATATCAATAAACACTGCATCTTTGTCAAGTAACGAGTAAATACACACACACACACACACACACACACACACACATATATATATATATATATATATATATATATATATATATATATATATATATATATATATATATTCGACCAAACATGTATGGAAGAATTCTTGCTGCCTAAATACACCTTATTTACATTAGATGAAACATATAGCGACCACAAACACTAACATTACCGAAATTGGACTTGAACTTTGGTAAATGTACAGATTATTTAAAACAACTAATTCGGAAATTTGAAAAAGTTAATAAAAATTGGATATAGAGAACTTCTCAATATTATTCAACCATATATATATATATATATATATATATATATATATATATATATATATATATATATATATATATATATGTGTGTGTGTGTGTGTGTGTGTGTGTGTGTGTGTGTGGAGAGAGAGAGAGAAAAGAGAGAGAGAGTTTGTCTGACGATCGCAAATAGCGTGAAACCCTGGGTCACAAACTCACATCAATCTAACTAAATATATTAGCTTTATCACTGATATTGAGTGCTTTTCAATAAGTACCGCGCACATATGATATATAAATAATATATATTTAAAAAATTATACACACGCACACACACACACACACACATATATATATATATATATATATATATATATATATATATATATATATATATATGGCCTGACGATTGCATATAGCATGAAACAGACTGTCGCCTCTAAGTGTTGACTTCTATGTTCCTTTATATATATATATATATATATATATATATATATATATATATATATATATATATCGATTCAAAGTTTGTATACAATTGGATTGGATATTGTGAAATTAATTATTTATATTATTTATATTCGGACTCTTGTCCTCATCGTTGTGGTTATTGTTATCACAATGTTTCGGCCGTTGTACCCTCCGGCCTTCCATAAGTTTATTTGTTCTCGGTAACCTACAGCAAATTCTGAACTGAACTTGAAATTGAATCTATAGATGTAGACTGTTCTCGTTGCATTGCCTATGTCTAGGAATATCGCCTAGTTCTTTAAGTACTGTTCTGTTATTGCTTGACCAATTCCACTGAGTCCAATACAAACTGCGGGGATTGAACTCCCAATCACCATGTGAATTTAATGTTAAAATTCAATTTAATATCAAAACTATTCTATTATCATTTAACTTTTTTAAAAATAATATATGAGTTAATTATAACTAAAGTAAATCAAAATTTTATTTAGCACATCAATTTTACTTCATTAACAGAATTACTTTAAACAATTTACGCCATATTTTTATAGGGAAAAGAAAATAGGATCTGAGAATAAAATTCGTTCTCCAAAAAATCTGAAAGAAAAAAAACAAAACATTTCGATCAATTTTCCATAATCTGTCAAAATGCACAAACATTAGAATTTTTTAAAAACTCTTCTTGGTTGGGCTGAAAAATGTTCAGTACCCCAACGTATACAATCTTTACAGAAAATAATATCCATTTTAAACTCGACAAACTGTGAAAATTTAGCATCTAATGCTTGTAAAATATTCTTGTGGAATAAAACATCTAAGATTAAGAAATGACTTTGTTTGAAAGAAAATATTGGTATCGTCCCGAGTTCCAGAATTTACGATATGTGCTCGGGAATCTCCTGCTAATTCTGTTAAGCCTCGATTTTACATGAAAAATAGTTTCACTGTTCCCAATCCTTCAACATGTTACCCCAAGGGAACACTTGAGACATTCCAAATTTGTTATGTTCACTGCATTCCTAGGTGGTATGTTTGGGAATATTTATGGATAAAGTATCAGCTTGAAGAAAAATACAGCACTAATGTTCGGGCATTTTTAGATCTCTTCTCTGGAGGAATGGTCCTGTTGTAACATTAGGCGTCATAGCAATGCGATATAATTATACCAGCAATAAATGAAGGTGGGGTTGTTGCACAATCAATGATTGTCTTAATATGTTCCCTTTTCTGGCAAAGGTAAATAAACAAAGAAAAAGAAATGATAAAAGAGAAAGAGAGTATCATATTTAATTCATGCAGATCTTGATTGATCTCTTAAAACGAATTTCAAATGTCATTTCATTTGCTTTTCCTTATACAATTGTTCACCCAATACAAGACCCAACTGCTATCCAAGGGAGAGGGTGACAGAATAAGGTTATAAGGGCGTAAAGGGAGGAAGTAAATGCCTATTATGAGAATATGCAGGATAGATAACAGTTGTACTTAGACTAGAAGAAGTTAAGATTGTAAAAGCAAGCTCATGGGTGTTTGTTTCACAAAGTGACAGTTCTCTGTATGGAAATCCTCCTTACTAATAGACTATAATAGGAATGATACATACATACATACATACATACATATATATATATATATATATATATATATATATATATATATATATATATATATATATATATATATATATTGTTGTGGATTCAGGTTGAAATCCGGTATCAATAAATAACAAACGCCAGGAATGAATATATGAAAATAATGTATTAACGTAATAATACAAACTGGTAATGCAGGTTAGTAGTTCCAGGAATACGGGTTAGTAGCAAAATATATATACAGTCTTTGGTATTGAAGTATCGCTGTATGACTTCTTACTGAGTCTACGTGCTCACTCACTGTGACACCTACAACGCTGTTACCTCACCCTCACTCTTCCAGTTACCTACAACCTTTTACTCTGTCACTCTGGACTCGACTCGACGGTCTTGCTCTCTCGGGTCTTCACGTAGCCGTAGTATATGTATATACTGGGTGAGTCCAGTTGTGTAAAAAGGGGAGAACCCCTCAACATATAGATAGATAGATAGAGAGAGAGAGAGAGAGAGAGAGAGAGAGAGAGTGAGAGAGATAGAGAGATAGAGAGAAAGAGTTCACCCGATGTCGTGTATCGCAGAAAAAATAACACATTGGCGGCTCTTAGACAAGAAAATGAAAATGCATGTGCAGCAATTCCACTGGACATTTTAGCCAACGTTGCCCAACTAGTAGTTCTCTGTACTAATAAATGTCTGTAAGATAAAGGCCACTATTTTGGGTATCTCTTGTGATTGTAGTGTCCAAAGGTAGATTGTATTACTGACATCTGAATAAATTTAGTATTACAATATCTATCCTTTCTTGAATGTGTGTGTGTGTGTGTGTACCTCCCACTTTCTTTACCTCACACAGTCTTTTGTATGTATATGCAAGAGGGCTAAAAAGAGAAATAAATAAATCCGCTCTCTATGTAATATGAACTGAGCATGATGGCCTTCCTCAGTACATGTGTTAGATACTTTCTGTGACAAGCAACGCCTCACCCGGCAGGCGTAGGTCAATGTGAATATAATGTCAAGTCCGGAAGAAGAAACTAAATACTAGACGTTTGAACTATTTAGGTTCGTAATTAGCTATGAAACCATTGGACTTTGAGTCAAAAATCATTCTAGGTCAACAGTGTTGTGAAAGTGCTTTGTAAAAACTGTTTGCAAGGTTAATTCATTGTAAATTAGACAGATTGATAGAAAACGTTGAAAATAGAATACCAAGTTTGTGGGTTCTTTTAATTCTCTTTTATTTTACCTGTCACATTATGTTTGAATTAAAATTTAAGCGTTTAATACAAAGGTTTCTATTGATCTGAAAATGTAAATATTATAGAAATGTAAATGTTAGTCGAGCTGTGATCCTATTTTGGAAGTAAAAATATATAAACTAGTATTGTCCTTATAAAGCCAGTTTTAACAGCACGTGGCATGACATATTTATCGGTGACATAGCATTCATTTTACTGATCGAAAGAAAAGTTATTTATAACTTTAGATTGTATTTTTTACTTGTTCAAATAGACAGGACAAGTGTTAATATATACGGACATGTCATTTGACTAATATTTTATATCGATTTGACAGAAACCCTTCACTGTAATTTAAATCGGTAAAACAGAATAATCAGTCCCTTAGCTAAATGGATTGAGACAAGCATACAGAAATAGATTTGAACAGAGTGAAATAGATGAAGACTAATTAATATGGACAGATCAACACGTCACCTTAAAGCGCAATAAGAACACACTTAAATACACGTACCCACCACCCATTGCCCATAGGAAAATCCACATAGACATCACAGATATAAGAATATATAGTTTTTAAATTTTTTTTTCTAGATATTAGAAGCACTTCTGATAAAGAAAGCAAAAGACTTTCCCTTTAAAGCAACTCGTACGAACGTGGTCAGAATGTTTTGATCCTGTTTGGAAACTATAAAAAAACTTCATTAAAAAAGAAATTACTACTATATAAATGCCTCTCATACAACACAGTGTAGAAAACAAAACAAAGATATAGTAATAATCCTCGATAGTACGGAAAATTAATCCTCACTCTCGAAAACGGTTAACGCATTAAACGAAAGCGCCCATGAAAACCAACACGCAGTACAATTTCTATTCACTTTTACTCCTCAATAAAAAAAAAACAAACAAAAAAACTTGTAAGCACACAAAAAAATTAAGAAACTAACAAGTTATTCCTTGTCCGTCATATTTAACAACAACAGACATGCAGACGCACGCGTTGAAACATCGGTGCAAGTACTATCACCGAAGTTAAACAACGTCGAGACTGGTCAGTACCTAGATGGGTAACTTCTTGGGAATATTAGGCTCTGTAAACCCGGATGTGCGGTTGGTGTAAGGGATAACGGATCGGAATTGTTAATCTGAGAGCCGAGTTCCAATTCTTGTTGAATTCGTTATATTGGATTCGCAAATATCCGTGGGAAAGATATATGCATCTACTTCTCCCCCGGTTATAGGTTAATTAGTAAGACTTCTGTAACTAAACCATTATTACCTCCCACAAAAAATTCTAATAATTTAAAAATATTTTCTGGCTTTAAATAACCGCCATGTGTTCATAAGCTGTAAAAATGAATCAATAAACACACACACACACACACACAGGTATATGTATTAGCCATTCTCATACTGGAAACATTCAGCATTCCTAATCCGAACAGTTAGTAGGATAGCTAGGGTTCTATAGCCTTGGGTAGCAACTGGTCTATAAGAAGTTTTCCCTCTTCTAGACCGGTTGCCACCCAAGGCTATCCTACTGAATTCAGAACTGTATGTAGCCCTGGTGAAGCACATACTATGCCGCGAAGGAAAGGATTATTCACATTGACTCGATGATCCCGACTAAAGGTCGAGTCGTTAGTGTTATTGGCACTTAAAATTTATGAAATTTTTTTTTCCAAAAATAGTTCTTCAAGAAAATTGGTCATCTGAAGCTCATTAACTTTTATCGCTTTTTCTAGTATGGATGCGAGTTTCCTTCTAAACATTTTTTTAAGTTGGTGTGGGAAGCCATCTTGATTATGTCATTATTTAATTTTTTAGTTACATATGCAATATATTTTAGTTGTTGAAAGTCTTGACATGAACCCTAACTTCTCTTTTTCTTTTTGTCCAATGAGTAGGGAAGTGACCTTTAAGCTGTGCGATACAAGTTTGGTTAAAGGCCAACAAAACTTCTTTGTTATAAAGATATTCTTGTTTATTTTGTTCTATATTTTGAACTGTTAGATAAACTATTTCATAATTGAGTGTGTAAGCTGCATGTAATCAGATACTAAACAATTCTATATTTAAATTCTCACTGGAAACCAAGAAAAGGATCCGAAATATAGAAACAATAAAAATAAATAGAAATCCTTTAAAACTGACACACACACACACACACACACACACACACACATACACATACACATACATATATATATATATATATATATATATATATATATGATTAAAAACAAAAAGGAAATTTATCGTAGCCGATGTGCTTCGACATCTAGTAGACTTTATCAAGACAAATGCCAGGATTTTTGTAAAAAGTATTTATATACATATATACTTGGGAAGACTCGTAATCGAAGAACGTATGAGCAGACTGGGTTATCCGACATAAAGGTTTTTCTAACTGGGTCCCATCTACAAGGTTATGTGCTTCTTTTATCAAAAACTTTCATGCGCACATTTGACTGTGCTTTATGTGCTTGGTATACACTTATCAGACTGGATGTCATGATTGGTATATTGGGCTTCGTATATTTATCCCCCAGTGTCACTTTGCCGGTGTGCTGCTCTTTCTCTCTCTCTCTCTCTCTCTCTCTCTCTCTCTCTCTCTCTCTCTCTCTCTCTCTCTCTCTCTAATAATAATAATAATTATTATTATTATTATTATTATTATTATTATTATACCGCATCTTACTTTACCACTTCTCTTTTTGTCTCCATTGCGAGTAGATTTTTATGTCCGAAACCAGTTCTGAATTGTTAAGTTTTTTGGAAGATCGCTAAATCTTACGTGATCGAGGTCATATGATATGCTAACTGCAGACGACAACTGGGACAAAAGAAAAGAAAAACCTGCATTGAACAGGCGTACAGTTTTTCTTATTCTTCGAATTTGCATAATAAATGAAGTCACAGTATCTATTTTTTTTTATTTCATTGCATTTTACCGTTTTCTATTCTATTCCTTGTTTGTCTCTCTCTCTCTCTCTCTCTCTCACTCTCTCTCTCACTCTCTCTCTCTCGTTGTTGTGTATTTTTCCCCTTTAGAATCAGTTTTTGCTTACAGCACTACCCTCTCTAGATGAACTATACAATTCCGCACTAGGAGTTGATTGTGAGTCTGTTTTGCTTGGGTCGCCGCCACAAACGCATCGATAAATCTGAATTATTGGTTGTCAGTTTTGCACTAGCAAAAGTTCATAGCACCAACGAAAGATCAATAGCTATTATCGAAAACAGATCAATGTTTTTCTATTCGTAATTAATCATACTTTCTAATGTCAAAGAAGTGTATGAATCCTTTTGATAGACTATTGGTATGTCAGTATTCATCAGTATTTTATGACAGCTTCACCATTTATTCATCATCTGTTGAAAACGTTGAAAACCACGTCTTTCTAGGATCAGTTTTCCTAGCTAAAACTGGTGATATAAAGCGAAGAATAGCATTTGCTTGCATTTGGAAGACTGAACAGAAAGATCTGAGACAAAAAGACATTCCATACTACATCAAGACTAGGCCCTACTATAGCAATTCATGCCGGTGAAACTTGGACAATGAGAAAAGAGGAAATACAAAGGCTCTTTGTCTTCGAAAACAACAGCCTCAAAGCTATGGCTGGGGAAAATATCAGAGATAGAAACGAAATGGCTGCCATACGGAAAACATAGGTTGAACGATAATGATAGCCGTTTCCTTATAAGAAAATATTTGGCATTCATAGACAGAGTAGTCAGTATTGTTTTTGGTTGAAATATATAAAATCTTTTTCTTAAAACATTTTTTCAGGAATATAGGTTTCCCAAGTTCAGTGGCTATTATCGCTCTTTCCAGCAATGATTGTGGTTTTCTGCCTAACCTTTTATTTGAAGTAGTGTGGAACGTCAATATCATGATTATGTCATTATTTCCTCTTTGAGGTATATGTGATATTCATTTTAGCTGTTGTTGTGTTGGTAGGCTTCAAATGATACGGTTTCTGTTATTTGGTACAGTTCTTTGTAATTCTTTAGCGCCGGTGAAGAGGCTAAACTGGTTTAGCTATATAATTAGAAGTGGAGAACGAAGGTTTGTGTATAGATCCTACAAAGACAAATTCCCCGGAAAAAAGAAAATGTGGCAGACCATCTAAAAAATTGGAAGTACTGATAAAATCCAAAGAAGAATCAGCAATATTATTGGTCCTTATCTGGCGACTCGGCTTCAGTCACTTTCCCACCGCCGTAAAATTGACTCCCAGTGACTTTTCTATAAATAATTTCATGGTACATTGGACAAGATCTTCGCTGTGGTACCTAGACTTTATGAATTTAAGTGCACTACTAGACTGGTGACGAGGTCTCATCATTTTACAGTTGAGTTGGCTAGATGTAACCGTATGTTCTATGCTAACAGTTTGTTTTCTTGCACTTTTTGCTCGTGGAACTCTCTTCTGGTTCCATGCTTTCCAACCAACTTTAATCTTCAAAAATGTCATTCGCTATATAATGTTCTCCTGTTTACTCTTTTTATTCACGTTCATTAGTTATGTTTCTGTTTCTAATTTTTCTACACCCAGTAACGCCTTGTGTTTTAGTAGCCTTATTGACTTGCATCGGGTGAACACGATTACAAAAATCAGAAATGACGCCAGAATTCTATTTTTTGACACTTGATTGCTTTGGACAGATAGGAATGGTAATGTGTCGGCAAAAAGTGCTGAAGGATCTCTTTGTGATTACATAACGAATGAGTTGTGAAAACCATTTGTAGAAAGGGTCAATAAAATGAGAGGAGCGATCTGAATTTTCTGACTATATCATTATGTGCATAATTTTATAAAAATAAACAGTTTAACAATGCTAACAGTATCTTAACTGCTTAAGTCTATAAAACAGTGAATGCGAGTAATTATTTACTAGTTTATATGCAGTTAAAGTTTAAGCATATACCAGATTCGCATTTATAGAGGTAATTACATGGCCAGATGCTATATGGCATGGTAAGATTAACTGTATTTTAACGAAGAACAAAAAAACTTTTGTTATTTAAATAAGTTTTGGATTTCCATAACTTAGGAAAACTAACAACGCAAAAAAAAAAAAACGTATGGGATGCATTTGAATTGGTCAGATCAATATATATCTGCCACTGTTGCTTTTCTGTTTAAAGGCTCACAACGTTTCAAGTCTCCATTCGAAAAGTAAAAGAAAAATAATGAAGATACATTTGTGAACAGAGAACAGCTAAAAAGATAATTTAGTTCTAAGAGCATAGATCAAACTCAATCTTTTCACTTTTTGTGAAATAATCGATCATTTTAAACATTATTTATTAAACTAATATATTAAATAAGCATCTTATTGTTAGATAGCATTAACGAAAATGTCCATATTGAGTGCTAAAATGTGAAACGCTCCATATAGCCTTGAGAATTTAAGAATAAAATCAGCCTCGAAAACCACGGTATAAAAGTTTTTTGTAAACAGAAAAAAAAAAAAAAAAAAAAAAAGCGCGTTAGGTATTTCTTTTCTCTCTCTCTCTCTTTCTCTCTCTCTTTCTCTCTCTCCATATATATATATATATATATATATATATATATATATATATATATATATATATATGCCCGATTTTAACGCTCACGCGATCTTCAGACGACTTGGGTGGTCAAGTTGTCTGAAGATCGCGGTTTTGTATTTAAAATAAACTACCGATAACTACAAAAAATTATCAAGACATATATACAATGCGTTTGTTGTCCACCGGAACGAAACTGACCAAAATTTTGGCATAAAAAATCCTATTTTGATGAAAGGATGAAAATAATTCACTACGACATAAATGTATAAAGAGTGCTTTAATCGCAAGGGTCATCTAAAGTAATTTTGTGCTCTGGCTCTTACAACATTTCACTATTCCTAGGAGATCTTCTAATATCAATGGGAAATACCTACTTAAAACTGTTGTGCGCATGTGTAGTCCTACCAACATAAATTTAGTCAGATGAAGTCCTGAAACACTTCACAAGTAAACATTTTCCATTTTGTCATACAATTTTCTCAATACTATTCTCGATATATAAAAGTATATATTGTTATCTCTCTCTCATACACACACACACACACGCATATATGTGTGTGTGTGTGTGTGTGTGTGTGTGTGTGTGTGTAACGCATCTATGAACACAAGAGAGACCTCATAAACGACAATTTAACAAATGCACTAGTCATACATAGAAATAAATTCAGCCACAATTTTGATTTTTATAAATGCTACACTAATAAAAAAAAACAATATAAATCACTCAGAAAGAAAATTCTTGAGCGTGCCGCCATTGAATATTATCCAAATATTAATCTATGCCCAGTTATTTTTCCCAATATCACCTTTCCTAACAGAATCATCACCTTCCCAAGCCATCGTGCACAACAAATAATTTAAGAAATAAAAAAAAAAAAAAAACGGTTGAATCCATCAACACACCAACACTAATACGTGAAAATATTCTCTTCAAACATAAAGTAATTGACATAATTTTTCAATTGACCATATGAATACACAATAGCGTTTCTAAATTTTTCTAGTTACAAACGACATTTTGTTTTTTATTAATAGATATTTTGTTTCAATAAATTAATTTCGTTTTTGCCTTGAAAAATTCCACATTGAACGAAACGCGTCGGCTAAAACTACACAATTTTCCTATTGCCTTTTCCCTTTATATATATAAATTGTGTGTATTTAGGCAGCATTTTTTCATTGATGCATGTTTCATTAAATAATATAGACAAGTTTTGTCTATTTATTTAATGTAAATTCTTTTCATATATATATGTTTGTGTGTGTGTGTGCGTGCGTGCGTGTGTGTGTGTGTGTGCGTGTTATTTAAAAATTGCGAAAGCGCTCCAGTCGTGGCAGTCCAGTGAGTTCAAATCAGGAAAAAGTGGAAACCACCCAAAAATTCTATGGGTCCCATAGGTCATGTGGGAGGGTGTTTCGATTGATAGATTTGTTTTTTCTTACGGCTTATCAAACCTTTATAGTTTATTAATGCCGAAATATATTTCTGATTGCTGGAGGTTGCTTACTGTATCCAGTGTCCCCCATCTAAGTACTAACCATGATCGACACTGCTTAACTCACAGGGAGCAGACTGTTACTGCAAAACGTACATCCTTCCTTGGGATACCCTCTCGTTGCAGGATTTGATGTAGACCGTTATATTGCAGAAAGCAGTAAGACGAGCACGAAGGCCACCACAGACATCGTTATCTTGGTTGGTATCACAGCGGATAGTCGTTCCTTTTTTTTATCTGGTAGTCGTTCTTAAAAAAGAACCATGTAATGCCGGAGTCCTCGAGGCGCATCCGCTTTTTCACCAAGCACTACGATCGGATCACACGACCTTTCTGGGTTTGTCGAACGTAAACATCTTTCTCTTCATTATGTAGGACTTGTACCTGTTGTCCTCACGCGACATAGACTAATGAAAAAACGAACGTTATCGTCGTGAACAGTGGGAATAGCGTACCAAGTTCAAATTCCAACTGAAGCTGTTGCATTCGCTTTTACACAAATACTCTTGGGAAAGTATGAATTTATTTTTTCTGTTTCCACTTAGGGGTTAACAGCAGAACAGGCTGTGCTGTCTGGATTTTCGTTGGCAACCAGTCTCGGAGAAGGACAACGTTCAATTCTAAACCAGTTGTACGTGTAAAATTCTAAATGCCACGAAAACCCCAGCAACAACACAGCATAGTAAGGGTGTGGCCCTATACGCTAACATGGGCGTCTACAGGGTTAACCGACGGGGGCGGGGGTAATTTTCTATTTTATTAAACGTTACTTTAGTTTCAGACATTTGTTCACTGACGCGTTGTGTTGAATGATGACTAGATTGAGGATTGGAGAGACACATAGAAGAGAGGTATGGAGTGAAGGAGAAAGGCTCTGCGCACATGCGTGTGTGTATGATGATTTTCTAGGCGTAGCTTAGATGTGGCACAAAGCTGAAAGTATGGGGCACGCTGTAAAGATCGAATTTATTATTCAGTCGTAACTGTTCTAACGAGATAAGCTTGCTAACCATTACACTACGTCGAAGTG